GGAGAACTGCTTCCTTCAGCCACCCCTCTGCTATCATCTCTCTGGGATGGGGAACCAGTATCCACGGTGCAGGTGACTCGTGGATTTTTCATGTGGAATAACATCATCCTCAGCTCTGGTACTTTTTTCTCCCCTCTCCCTTTGTCCCCTGGTCTGGGGGCAGTTGGGTGCACCCACCAGACCTCCTTCCCTCTGTCCCTGCTCCTCCCAGCACAGGGCTGGGACACACTGGGGCTGGGACAGCAGAAGTGATCTCAGCGCTGAAGCTCCTGGATCTGCAGGCAGGGCTCTGCCTTTTGTGCGTCTGCCAAACGTCTCTTTATTTACGATGCTCTGTGAAAACAGTTACTGTCACTACCAAAATGACATAACCGCTCGGCTGCAGGAGCACCCAGGTTCCCTTCTGCTGGCTGGGGAGAGGGATGGAGGTGCCAGAACACACTCAGGCACAGCACCGGGGATGGGGACGGCTTGGGTAGCCCCAAAACACTGCCTGTCCCATGAGAGTGGCTGCTCTGGGGGGGCAACCAGCCCCGATCTCCTCTCCTGGGGTTGGTTTGGGTGGAATTTTTGGGCTCAGTTGAATTTGCTGGTTTCTGCTCGATGTCTCCTTGGGTGCATCCTCCCCATCTCGCCCCACCTCTGACCTCAGTGCCTTCCAGCTCCCACCCTCTGTCTCCACTGCGGGCGTTCCCCTCCTGCTATCTGACTGCAGTCCTCAACGCTGTGATCGCTAAAATCTGCCACTAAATAAGATGAAGATGTGCTCTCCCCCCTCCCCAGCCGACTGAGCCTTCACCCTCCATCTGAGGACACAGAGGGGCCACGCTGCTTTCTCTGGCAGCCCAGGGGTGACCCCTGAGGGAGGGGAGGCTGGCGGGGAGGAGGCAGGATCCCTGGGTTTTGGCGCAGGATGGGTCCTGGCATCGCCACCTCCTGCCCCATGGGAGAGCACCGGGGCGGGCTGGGGGGAGCAGGCAACGCCTGCACAGCTCTGCCTGCACGGGTGGTCAATCCACCCCTCCCCTCCCCGGACAGACAGCCCTCTGAGGCTCTCGTGGCACGAGAGGCACCATTACACACTTCCCAAACTCGTCTGCTTCTTGCCAGAGGTATTACTCAAACCAGACATACTGTGAGCATCCGAATCTCTTTCCCATGTGCAATCGGGTAAGGAATTACTCCTGGCTTCCCACTGGGAGTCCTCACCCACCTGCTGCAGGTGTAAAAATCAACTGCTTTCCATTTGAGCTCTGCGTTTTGGTTAGAAAACATCTATTTTATGCCTAAAGGCACTTGCGGCGGGAACTGACCGACCTGGCGGGACATCACAGACAGTGTGTGGGGCTGCAGGTCCCTTCCCTGTCCCTTCTCTGTCCCCCATCCCCCAGGCAGGGACCAGGAGAGGGGAAGCACAGCAGCTCTGGGCTCAGAGCACACAACTTCGTGGCACTGCAACAGGGAGGGATTAGGCACAGGCTGAAATCCCTGTAACTCCCTGGTGATCAGGCTCCTGCCCAGCCTCCTCCCACAGGCTCTTCTTCTGCCATTTGTCATAAGAAACAAATGGGAAGCTCTGGGAGGAATAACAAGCTCCCCAAAGCTTTGTGTAGAAAATATCTATGAGGTCAGCCTGTTCTTCCTCCTGCTATTGCAAAACTTTTTCTTCTGCGGTTCTTGAGTATAATGCACAGATGCAGAATCTGCCATGAAATCCACCTCCTGCTTCAGCAGGCTGGAGTTCCTGGTGCCTGGCTGGATATTTTTAAAATATATGGAGGTAAAAGCAGACTATTTAGAATTCCTATGGGTCCGTCAATTGATACACAGACGGCACCAAGCTGTGTACACAGGCGATGCTCTGGGGCTCTGCTGGTGCACGATGCTGCCCTGCACCCTCTGCAGGGATGTGCACACCAGTGCCCAGTTTTCTGGGGTTGCACAGACATATTAAAAGCACCAGCTGAGCTGTTATTTAATGGTTCAGACCAGTAGCCAGCTTTTATAGGACCTAGGATCAGCTTCCTGTGCCTACAAAATCAGTCTTGTCCCAGTGTCAAAACATAGCAGGGAAGCGTATCAGCTTTGCTTCTGTGTGGATGTTCTCCTGGTTATAGTGGTTTTCCTACACCAGCATCAACAAACCCAACCCTTTCACCTTCTTCTACTACATTTGCCTCTCAGTAATAAGAATAATATCCCCTGCTCTCACTTGCTGCTTAAAACCCATGTTTAGATTACAAATTCCCTGCATGGGAACTGCCTAGCTCCAGATGGTTAATTTGATAAAAATCACGTATGAACCCAACAGCCACAGGCATCACCCACCCAGGTCCCCATAGTGCCAGTCCCCGACCCCCCGGCCGTTGCAGGTGCTGAGCGTGGGTGTCACAAAGCAGGTGCTGAGCACTGGAACAGGCTGCCCAGGGAAGTGGCTGAGTTGCAGTTGCAGTCCCGGGATGTATTTAAATTATGTGTAGATGTGGCACTTAGGGACCTGGTTTAGTGGTGGACCTGGCGGTATTAGGTTTGTGGTTGGCCTTGATTATTTTAAATGTCTTTTCCAACCTAGATGATTTTATCATTCTACAATAATAATAAAAATTAGCAAGACTCCTTCCCTTCCTGGGGTTGGGCTCAGCACAGCCCCTGATTTTTACCTGCAGCAAGGGGTGCTCAGCAGCAAATTCATCCCGGACAGTGGAGAAGCCCGGCAGCACCCAGCAAGCAACAGCACACCATCCAAACCAAACCGAGCAGACACCAGCAGCTTCCATCACCTGCCCGTGAAAGGATTTTATGCTGGGAGTCACAGCCTCTCCTCCTGGCACAGAAAAGACCCAAGACAATTTGGGAGATCTTAGCAATTGTAGTAGCATTTCCCAGCAGCAATCCTTCTCTGGTTAAAGGCAGGCTTTGACACAGCCAGTAACCAAGAGCCACGGGGAAGGCAAGAAGGGATTTAAATTATTTTTCTTTCTGTAAAAGAAATTTCTCCCCTTTCTTTTTTTTTTTTTTTTTTCTTATTAAAGTTCATGCAGTTGATTGCCAGCCAAAGCACCTAGGATTCATGAAATACCTGAGCCAAAATTTGCTTTTTATTCTGGTGTCTAATGAGCAGGTTTTAGTTAACACTGGGTTTAATGGGAATCCCACATTTCTGTGAGCCAAAGGAATGAACTGGATCAGTACTGCAACAGTCCCTGGGCATGGGCTCATAACGTGAGGGCATTTTGGTTTTTTTAGAGTTTCTTTTTTTGCCCCAAATCTCAGAAGTATTTGTGGATGTACCATATCTGATGAACCAAGCTTCTTTGGTCAGAGTGGCTTAACATATGTTTGTACTATTAATTAAACTTCTCAATCTGTCAGCAAGGCAATGTGTTTGTTGGATGAAGTAAAGGATTAATTCCAGCTCCTTGGATACCCTGGCGGTGCAATAACCACTGGAGATAGACCCATCTATATTATCTGTGGGGCAATAGGTACCACAGGTTGGTGATCTGCTCCAGGCCATGCATGGGGCCAGCTGTTGTTTTAAGCATTTAACTGGTGTTTCCTTCAGAGGGCTGGACGTGGGTATTTTGTTCAGGCTGATATCACTTGAACTGTGTGTACAACAGAGGCTGCAGGGACAGAGTCAACGGGGGAGCAGCACTGGAGTGACCAGGAGGACTTTTTCTAGCCAAGATATGTAGTTTCTGGAGAGCTGGTGTGGGAGGAGAATGGTGATATGGTACCACCACTGTCACAGGAGCACATGTATGATTTGGATTAGCTCCCCAGGAAAATGCATGACTTTGTGGGTAGGTATCCAGGGGACAAAGAAACATTTGGAGAGACAGATGAGCCTGTATGGAGGCCATGCACAGGACAACAGGAATGACTGGAGACATCTAGGCTGATTTTAGGTTTGCTTCCTCAGGAAATGAACTCTGCCTAAGTGCCCTGAGTACCTGCCTCTCCCCTGGTGGCTTTTAAACCAGCTGGCTGATTCAGCTGAAACACATCAGAGAAAGAGAAATTCCCCCCAACACTAAAAAGCCCCTTCCCAGGGTGTGCAGTGTGGTAGCTGGGCTCAGCTGTTGGCACTGATTGAGGAGGTGGCTTTGGGGGTTAAAGGCACCTTCAGCAGCTGGGCTGAATTTTTACTTCTCATTTTAACGGGTGCTTGAGGTGGTTTGTGCTGCACTATAAACACCCAGCAATGGCCTTATCCCCTACTGAGTGTGTCTTGGCTGGGTGGCTGCCCCAACATGAGTGGGACTCTGCCCTGCTCCTCGCTTGGCAGCTGATTCCAGGTACTGGGAAAGTGGAGGCAGGGTTGGGGACTGGGAGGTGTAAAAGTAGGGATGAGTGAGGTTGGGATTGGAAAGGGAAAGCAGGAAACAGGGAAGGAGACCTAGACAATGGTGAGCTGAGGCTGGGGAAATGGGCAGCCCAGGGAGACCGTGGATATTGAAAAGGAAAAAACAAGGACTGCCTGCAAACGCTGCCTATATCTGCTGTGCAGCTCCCAGTTTTTGCAATGGGTGAGCCTGGGCTTTTGCGAAGGACTCCCATGCTTTACATGCTTGCTTTTTTGGTGAAGCAATACCAAATGCACTGGGGAAGGGGAAGGGTTGTGGAAAAGTGTGTGCAGCAGGGTAACTAGAACTCAGCTGGCCTGTGTATGCACAACACTGGGAGGATGGGGGTTTATCAACTCTAATTCTGGTGTTTTCTTTAAAGTGCACGACTGCAACCTGCCCAATGCTAGTCAAAAGCAGTGAGCTCTGTGTGAAGTGTCTAATACCCCAAACCAGATTAAAATCCTTTCAGCTGGACTTGCCCCGACTCCAGGGGCTTTTGGAGCAATCCGGCGTGGGATGTTGTGCGAGGCCGCCGAGCGAGCGCGGCTGTACCCCAGCATCTCTATAGTAACACAGTGTTTGTTGGCAGCAGAGCAGCTTCCTGCAATCTGCTCCCAGCCTGGGTGTCCCTGAGGAGTTGGGGGGGGAAGGAAAAAAATGTTTTGGCCACTTAGCATCACGTGATACTATTTTTTTTTGTTTTGTACCCCATATATTTGGTGAGGAAAAATGGATGCTTTTTTAAAGGAAATCCTTGAGCCGTCAGAGCAGGACACATTTGACCACTTGACACGGATGGAAACACCTTCTGTCAACATCTACAGGGCCCTGTGCGCAGGTAAGGGGTGCTCGGGGCTGGGGGTGCCCTGTGCCAAGGTGATGGGCAGGCTACTGCCAAGGGCAGGGCTAAGGTGGGGAAAGCCGAGTTGGCCACTTGCTGGGAGCTTGTGGCTATGTTGTGCTGAATTTGAACTTTTAAGGCTATGTTTGAGCTTGTTGGTTAGTTCTGCTGGGTGTGCTGGGGTCAGTGGTCACTGTGCATGTCCTCCAGGACTGGGGGAAGAATTGGGTTCACCCCGGATCTTTGCAGCTCACAGGGAAGTCAAGAGTTACCCTCCTTGGGAGGCGTGTGGTGCATTCCCTGGAATATCTGAAAACACTGGGCTTTTGTTATGAGCAGGTCAACAGAAAACAGTGTGGCTCATTTAAATTGCCTGTGGCAGGTTGCTTCCTCAGGTGTAAACTCCCTCCTCACTGATCCCCAGCAACTGAGAGTGATTAGTGGCTAATTACAGCCGTTAGTGGCTCTTTTCAGACTGGCTGCTAAGGCTTCACTGCCAGTGCAATGTCACGCTGGTGCTGAGGGCCAGGGAGAAGTCTTTGCAGCAGGTAACATAAAAATTATTTTCTGTGTAGCCTGGTGTGATACATGTCGCATGAACATGGTGATCATTAAACTTGACTTTGTTTTAAGCAGCCTCTGCAGAGGCATAAGGGTCAAGGGTGTGTAAGGTGCACACTTTCACATAAGAAGCAAACAAGTGATGATGTAGGAAGGTTCTTGGCTTGCATTTCTCTGGACCTTTTCTGCTTTCTTGCAGTTATGTGTTTACATGTACCTGGTACATCACTACCTGCTCTTGTGACTTTTAGCTGCGGGTGAGGACGTGCCTTGGCACGGGCTCTGTGAGTGCAGGTTGCTCTGTAGGCTCCAAGGTGCAGGTGGAGGAGAGGTGCTCCTACAGCTCGGGGGGCCTGGGGCTGGAGGTGACCCTCCCTGGGCCACAGCCTTGGAGTGAGATCTCCGATCGGTGACTCGCTTTAGCTCTCAACACCTTCCTATAATGGTTTCTGCCATCTTTCTGGGTAATGAATCCTGTGTGTCATCTCCCACTGCGTGTGTGCAACCTCTCTGTGCTAGCTGCAAAAGCAGGATCACTGCCCTGCTTGTTTTCCAAGCAGGGGTTTGCAGCACAAGGGCATTTCCAGCTGGAGAGCTTGATGTTCTGGATTAAAAAACTAGGTGCTATTTCTCTGTCTGCAGGCTAATGGGTATGCAGTTGCTCTGTATAGCTGTACTCTCTCGTTAATTCACAAATAGCCAGGGTGTTTTTTTTGTGCGGGCCTTTCAAATAGTCTCAAGAGGATACAAACAAAAAAAAAGTATGAAATACCTGGATAATGGTGCTTAGATGACCCATGATTGTCATCTTGCTGTAGGACTGGGAGCTGGCTTGGTGCCTGCGTGTCTTGGGACAGCAAGCTTCTCTGTGCCACCTCTGTAAAATGGGAGCAGCAGTATTTCTGCCCCTGTGCATTGTGCAGTTAGATACCCAGAGAGAGGCAAATTGTTCAGGGAGCAGTAATCAGCTCCTGGGTGGCTGCAGGTGACTGTCCCTGGGCGGTGTGCTGTGCTGGGGTGCTCCCGTACCAGCTGGCAAGGTGTCACCTCTGGGACGCTGCGGTGGTCCGGCATCCCTCTGCGCACCCCTCGCAGCGGTCGGGGCGACGGAGCAGGGAGCCCCGGGGTGCTGAGCCTGCACGGCTGCTATCGGGCTGAAGCCACCCCAACTGGCTGATCGTGTGATCCCTGCCCGGTGGTTTGGGAGTCCCTGCCTTGCTCTGCCGGGCCTCGGGGTTGTGAGGGACTTGCCATGCTGAAGGGGATCCGTCGTTTTTCATCGGCGCTAGTGTGTGACCCCAGAACCCTGTGGGCTCCCCCAGGCTGGGGTTCAGGGAGGGTTCAGGCTGTCCCGAAGCCAAACAACTTGCTGAGGTGCAGTCCTGCTCCAGACATCTTGAGGTGGGTGGGACTGGCTCCCTCTTGGCCACTTTTTCCCCCTGGTTCCTGCAGCTCCGTCCATGCACCAGCCTGCAGAGGTTTCTGTTGCCATCCAGGTTGGAAGGGTTACAACATGTCAGGCTGTGGACAGCAGAAATGCTGCTGCGGGGAAAGGATGCTCTTTGTGGCTCTGCTAGTTTTCACTTGGTGAGGTTGGGCTACTTTACAACCCTGCTTTATGGGTGGGGATCACGGCTGCTCCACTTGTAGCTTTTATTTTGCAGACATGCTTTGTCCCAAGGGATGAGGTGTGTTTCTCGGGGAGCTGCTTTTTTTACTCAACTCCACCAAGTTTTGCTGGGGTCACTGGTCAGCAGTGTTGGAGGAGACAAATGGCATGTGCTGTGTGGAGATGGATGGGCAGATGTATATGTTATGCATTTGGAGCCCTGCCCAGGGGAACATGGAAAGCAGATGTTGGACCAGTGACCTGCAGGATAAGCCATGGGCCCTTGCTTCCTCCTGTGCCTCTGTGGTCTGGCTTAGACAGAGCTGGAGTTACTCTGTGGAGGCTCAGGCAAGTTCAGCACAGCCCTGGCTGGTTTGGCTGAAAGGAGTGTCTGTTCATTTTAAAGTTCAGATAGCAGACAAACAGATCCAAAAGTCATGTTAAATAGGAATTGAAGCACGATCAAGAAATTGAGATGTTCTGACTTCTTTTCCCAATTCTTAAAATAGCCCAGGGGCTGCTCTAAGTTTTCCTGGGGTGAGCATGGGCCGGCTGGCAGCAACTGGGATGTTGGGTGCTCCTCTGATAGTCTGTCCTGCCCATCCAGACCCATCCCCACTCACTCACTAGACACCAGTTGGGACCAACATTGGTTATCTGGATTTAGCATCTGGTCCTTCTCCATCTACCCCTAGAGCTGGACAAAAGTTAAGGGTTTAGGTCAAATCCTTCAGACCCAAAGAAAGATCCAAGTGGGTGAGATCCTTAGCTGGGCTCCTCAAATTTTCCTGACTTCGCCTAGCAAGGGAGCAGCAGATACTGGACTTTTTTCCTTTCTACGGTCCTCTGCGGTGTCACCTAGTGCTTGCTCAGTCGCCCGTGACCGCTGAGCAGTAGGGTAGCATCTTGCTCTGGACTAACGAAGGTGCCGATGCCGCGGGCTGGGCTGCGCGGTGCCGGGGCGCGCCGGCAGCGTTTCTGTGGCTGTGCGTGGTGTTTGCCCACAGGACAGCAGTGCCTGCTTTTGCTGCTGCCCCGAGAGCCCCGGGCGGGCGGGTGTCAGGGCAAGGGACCAGCGGTGGCCCCAGCGTGTGCCAAAATGGGAGCGCAGCCGGGGTCTGCCGGCTGCTGCGGAATAGTGCTGGGTTTTGGGGTCTGGACTGCCTTCCTTTGCCGACCTCAGGGCACGAATGGAGCCAGGAGGAGGAGCTGGTAAAACTGGGCAAAGAACTGTTTCCTTCCCCAAAACATGAGATTTAGCCACTCCAAGTGTGCAGGGGCTTTGGGCGTGCTCGCAGCCCAGCTGGGTTGGTGCTGGTGTGGGGCAGCGGGGGTCCCAGCGTGGGGGGATGTTCCTGCTCTGGCTCCAGGCTGCAGCTCGGATGTGGCAAAGGGATGTTTTGCTGCAGGATGGGGAAGTGTCTGTGTGAGCTTGCTAGCTTTCTGCAGCCTGAAGTTTCTTTGCTCCTTAAAAGAAAAAAAAAAAAAATTATTCTATCTTGCTCAGAGATCCTGCTTACTGTTAAATTTACAAAGGGCTTTGATAATGCATGGCTGAAGAGAGAAGACAAAAAAATTACTACAGGAAAGGCATGATCAGTTTTGCTGAGAAGGAAAACTTAGTAGTACTGGAGTGATTTCTTTTCTTTTTTTTTTTTTTTGTTTTGTTTTTATTTCTGGAGTAAGGAACAGCACTATTGTGAAATACACGCTGGAGAGGATATTTTGAGGGACTTGTGCCTTTCCTGCTCTAAACCATATGTGCAGCTGGAACAGCTTCAGCCCTGGCTAACTTTCAGGGTGGATTAGGAAAACTAATTGGATGCAAATGCCCTGATTTGGCACCTCTGAATAAGGAGTATCTGAAGTCCAGTGGGTGAATTGGGGAGCTAAATGCCTCTTGTATAGGGCTGAGGCCCCCGGGTGATGGACTGGATGTGGCTGGTGGTTCAAAAGGGGCTTGACTCTGGAAACCAAGTGTCTCAGAAGGGGCTTAACCTTTTGCTAAGGAAACTCCAACTTGGGGTGTGTCATGGTTGGCAACACAAATCTCTGGATGCTTTTGGAAATAATGGTCTGTACTTTCATTTGAGGGTGCCTCTTTTTTTTCTTTTGGAATCGACCAGTTTTATGAAGTGTTTATCTGAAACTTCCTTTTCTTACCATCTCAGGGAAAGGGCAGCCTTGTGGGGCACTTGCTATAGCAACTTCTTGCTTCTGTTTTTGGCTTTTACCCTCTTACTTTGCACCTCTGGGAAGACTGTTTTGATTCTCACTTTCAATTTCAATGAAATGGAGATAATGAGAGAAGCAAGCAGAGGGTGGTGTAAGGCTGAGCAGAGCACTGCAGAGGGCTGAGCTGGTCTCCAGGGACAGCTATGCAGAAATTGAAAGTAATATTTTCTTGATCACAGCTTAGGAAAAAACGCTTTAAGTGATTAATTCAGTGATGAACACTTGTATTCCTGAAGAAACTTGTGTTAAATTGTGTCTGAGCTTCTTTGGTGTTTGTTTCCCTTGGAAATCATATCAAAACCTTCCCTGCAGGAATGTGTGAGGAATGCAGGAAACTTGCAAGCAAATACTTTGGGGATACTTCTAGAGAAGCAGTGCACAATTTTAACTGTGGATGACTGATCAGAAGGCTTCAATGTGAGAGCACGTGTGTCCTGCTGGGACCTCTGTCCCAGCTGAGCCGCTGCCTGGTGGCCCCTGTCACTCCAGATCAGCCCAGGGCTGAGTCCTGCTGATAGAGCAGCTTATGTGCAGCAACTCATCTGCAGAAAAGGATTGACAGTTTCCCTGACAAGTTGCTCTAGAAATCACC